CCAAACACCCCCACCCTATCACACACACACCCTCTCACAGCCCCCATTCCCCGACAGGCAATTGTGTTTGTGAATGAAAATACAGACCCCCCCCTCCCTCCAATCACCTCTTTGTTAAAAAAAATTAGAAAGCTCATAAGAGAGAGAGGAATAGTGTGTCTATAGTGAAATGTTAATAGTACACGTGAACCGTTGCTGGTATCTGTACTTTGGTAGTTTGGTGTACCGTCTGTTGTTTTCTCTTTCTTTCTTTCTTTCTTTCTTTCTTTCTTTCTTTCTTTCTTTCTTTCTTTCTTTCTTTTTTCTTTTTTCTTTCTTTTTTCTTTTCTTTCTTCCTTTCTTTCTTTTTTTCTTCCTTTAATTTTTTGTTAGTTTGTATGTTTCTTTTTTTTAAAATTCTCTCCTATAAGTCGAGGGATTTGCCCTCGAGAAAACCTGTTTTTAATGCAGGTGTTTTACGCACTCATCGATACAATTTAGATCATTTAGGAGGTGGGTTGTCAGGACCAATCGGGGCCGAGACAGATACAGAGTAGCCAGGCAGTAATACAGAGATACTCGATAAAAATTCTCCCCACACGGTAATCGAACGTCGAATTCGGGACTCTCGTCTGTTACAGCGAAGCGCCTAACCGCTATTATAGCACCCCAGAAGCCGATCAAAATCGATTTTAACTTCTGAATTTCTATATGCACGTAATAATATAATACTACATACTTATAAGAGAAAATAAATGCCACACACACGATTGCGTTCTTCTGGTCGAGACTGTTTGACAGTACCGCCCCAGGAGGCACTTCGCGCGACCCAACGTGTCAAAACGTTCGGTATTAGTACCCGTGTTTTTAATGATTAAACTCATCGGGGCTCTAGGGTGTTGCAACGCCATTCGTAGCTTAGATTCTTACTTAGTACGGGCCCATCTTTGTTTGTGCGCGTGTGTGTATAAAATGAACATATATTATACCTTATATATGATATATTAATAGTAGTTTAATATAATATATATCCAGGCGTTTCGCCGTCTCTTGTAGAAGACCCGAATTAGATTCTCGTTTACGAGGAATGTTTATTGAGTATCTCCCTGCTGTAACGTTGTATCCCTCTCAGCTGCAGTTGGCCCTGGCAGGCAGGGTCGAATTATTCCTAAACGATCAACCTTGTGTCGACAGAGGGGGGGGGGAGGGGTAAAACACTTACATAGAAAAACAATGATCAACGTTCTCTAGCAGAACCGCTTCAGGGGACACTTCCACACGACTCAACGTGTCAGAACGTTCAGTATTAGTACCCGTGTTTTATGATTAAAGTCATCGCGGCTCCAGGGTGTTGAAACGCCACTCTTTATCGTGAAGCTTAGATTATTATAAGTATCGGTTCATCCATGGGTACGTGTCTGTGTGTCTTTCGGCTTGGATTTTGTATCCCTCTCAGCTGCAGTTGGCCCAGGCAGGCAGGGTCGAAGCCTGCCTTCGTAATGATCAAAATTGTGCCAATCAGGGGGTTGGGGGTAGGATAAAACACCTTACATAACACAACAATAATCGGGGTTTTCTGACATTACCGCCTCGGGAAGCAGTTCTCGTGCCTGGACAAGTCTCAACATGACAACGCATACAACGTTAGTAACCATGCTTTATGACACCAGTCGGTACTCAAGGGTGTTGCTATACCATGTTTTGTCATGGAGCTAATAATAATGACTCAGTACACTTTGCGGGTCGTTTGTCAGTGGCTCCTGTAAGTAAACTTAAGCCCACTAGTCAGAACTTACTTGATCTAGTGCGCTCATGATAATATGTTGGGGATTCAAGCCGAGATTAACCGGAATGTAGTTAAACATGACACCAACTGAGCTACTGGCGTGCCCGTTGAAGTAAACTTGAACCTTGTATTCAGAACTAGCTTGACCTACTGCGCATAACCAGGGTCTCTGCTGTCAGTTGGGTCACATTTTGGACACTGTGCCGTGATGCTCGAAAGACGATTTTTATTCTGAGAATTGGGGAGAGGGGGAGGTTGGGGGGGGGGTTACAACAACAGCGGCAGCAGCGGCAGTACCTGGATGAAACTTTCAAGTGATTGTTCAACGATATCAAATAGCAATGTCTAACAATCTTATGTTGATTACGAAACTAATTTCAGGCAGCCATAAAAATAGGACACTCGATGAAAAAAAAAAACAATGAATAAAAAACCCAAAAGAATAAGGCGTCAGGGGGCAGGGGGTCCTGAATCTACTTAGCCTTTTACTTTTACTGGCCTTGCCAAAATTGTTTGACAATCACATACATACTGGTTGATCAGGATGTCCGTTGAGAATTGGGAATAAATATGTGGCATTGTGGGGAAATCAGGCGCTCGTCAAAATAATGAATTCGAAGAAACAGACATTTTTCCTCTCGTTTGTCAAGTTTTATAGATTTTGTTTGGCTCAACATTTTTTATGTCCACATAAAAACGCTTTTTTGGTGTAGATTTCCTTGAAAAACGGTTGATCCAAATTTGGGTTAAAAAACGTGCAAAATATAAACTTTTTAAGAACACGCAAGCTTTGGAAATCACCAAATTTTGGTGGCCATTTTTGCTCCTCTGAAACCAGGCGACCTTGCTCTCCTTCCATCGCGAATATCTCGATTTACATTCAAGACAGATTATGGATCTATTTTTCATCAAGAGCAAGAAAAATAAACATACACGATTGTATCAATAACTCCAACCCCCCCCCACTAGCCCCCCCCCCCCCCCCCCCCACGACAAACAATAAAACAAAAAACAACTACTGACGAGCGCCTGATACCACCGCGACGTGAGCAAACAGAAACCTGATCTGCCGACGGCAGCGCACTCGAACTGACCTTCGTAACGTACGCTCTGTGAGGCATAACGGCACCTCTCAGCCCCGTGCTCTGGCGTCTGTGGTGGAATGGTCAAGCCCTATACGTTCTTACGTCTAGTTCAAGCCATAATCGCCTCGGTGCCCATTGGCAAGATTGGTTAGGTTTGGTCGACGGTGCTAGCCAGATTTTCCTCCTTTGAGGGAGAAAAGGTATTATCATTGCACGACATGAACGAAACAGACGATAACAATCGAGAACAAACATGTTTGTTTACAAACTGCGAGTCAGGCAATCGGTAAGAGGCAGGGATCTATATTTTGATGTATAGCGCGCACTAAAGCTGCCAGAAACGTACTACCCACAGTGCCCATTTGGGGATCGGTTCTCTGACACAAACCGATTGCTTGACTTGCGGCTTGGAAAATAAACACGTTTGTTTTTGAAGGTCACCATCGGCTTCGTTGGTTGTGCCACGATGGTCGCTTTTCGCCCTCAGTCTTGCTAGCCCCGCCTATCCAACCGAACCGAACTGAACCGATTTTTCAATGGACACCGCCAACGAGGGGCTTGTGTTCGATTCTCCGCGGAAAAAAAGACTGTTGCAGTCGAACCTACCAGCACTAACGAAGACAATGACGTATACAAACGACCACACTTTCCACTTCTCTCTTGCCTTAGTTTTTTCCTTGTTGTGACACTGTAAGAAGGCCACGACGACTGACACAACCACTTCTTCCCTCGATAATGATAGGTCGGCTTGGGCAGGTGAACTGTATTTTACTATTTATACCTTTTAGTCTGATGGATATTTCCCACGCACCACACTATGCGTTTGAGGGGGAGGAAGAGGAGGAGGAAGAGGAGGAGGAGGAGGAGAAGAAGAGGAGGAGGAGGAGGAGGAAGAGGAAGAAGAAGAAGAAGAAGAAGAAGAAGAAGAAGAAGAAGAAGAAGAAGAAGAAGTCTATTATTACAGGTATATAATACTTTATTATCCTCCACAAGTGAACCGTCAACGACCTTTGATACCAGCACGAATATAGGTTAATAATTTAATTATAACAACTGTATTCCCAACAAAACTCCTTTCTTCTCTCCGGACGTTCGGTCTTTCTTCACTGTAATCACGTCTTTGTTTGCCGCATAGAAAAACATCGGAGTTTCCAGTAAATACATCGAGCTTAGATATATAAAATGCTTCCAACGTTTCATCGATGTTCACATTTTAGCATTACAGAAAAGTGCAGGCTTTATGAAAACTTTAGAGGCGTATTATTTTCGAGCAAGTACGTTGATTTGGTCCACTAGAAATATTTTGAGGCAAAGAAACAAGCTGGTACCACGAGAAAAGCTGGATAGAAGAGAATATAATTATTCATTTTATATATAATTTTATGTATTATGCTTTCAATTATATGTTATATATAATTACATGTATATACATATTATATACAGTTATGTGAATAGCAGAAAAAATGACCTTATTGTAAGCTCCAATTCTCGTACAAGCTGGGGATACCTTTACCAAACGCTTTCCGAAAGCTAAGAGAGCTTCACTTGGCTTATTGTTCAGCTTGACAGCGCACAAGGACTTTGGTGTTTACTGTTTGCAGCCAAAGAGTGGAGAAAACGTTCCATCTGCGATACGTTACGCTCACCTTTGTACAGTGACCCTGGAACTAAAGAGCTTTATCTGTATACAACAAAAGAATCGAGACATTATAGTTCTCAATAGTCCTGGTAGGTCGCAGTATGTGGCAGCTTTTTTTTTATTTGAGCCAATGTGTATATAGTACTGGTGGTCATTTCACAGTCTACTGACTGTCTGTAGTCCTTTGTTGACTGTTTCTACACCAGTGGAAGGAGATCTCTTTTGAAGTTCGTTTTGAACCACACTGGTCTGGAAGCAACACCAAGCAAAGAGAGAGAGAAAAGAGGTAATACGGATAACCATGTTCTGTTGTCTGCTGTCATCGACATTTTCTGCCCCCCCCCTCCCATAAGACTTTATGGAGTTGCGAGTACAGTAAAAGACTTTTCTAAATAAAACACAATTAATTCATCCTGTTTAGTGCTGTATATTCTCTCTTGGCCTAAAACCGCTATCTTCTAACTCTTTCAACAATCTGAAAAATTAAATATTGACGTATATTTGACAACTA